AATCATTAGAAGGTCTGATTCAAAGCCCACTTAAATAAATTGATATCTTCTGTTGGCTTCATTGCATTTTGAATCTGGCTCTGTATTCAGAAATGAGAAGCTAACTGGCTGTAGATGGACAACTTGTGTGGTTCTCTGTTTGCTTCCATGATGGCCTACTAAAGAAGGTTTGGATAAATGTCATGAAAGGTCACTTTAGGGAAAAAATCAACTAAATTCAGAGCTGCAGAGGAAAATCTTTTAATGTTTAATCATTGAAAACCTATTTTTTTTTTCCTCTTCTGCTCTATTTAAGCTCCCATTGAAATGAAGGATGCAACTGATGTTGTGGTATTGCTTAGATTTGGTAGTGGCTTAGGTTTGTTTGGAAGAATGACATCCCCAGAGCAGTGATGACCCTGCAGGACATACTGAGCCTGCAGTTACTTGTCGTATAAAGCTATTTCTGCTCTAATGGTGGTCTCTGCTGATTTCAAGAGTGGCTTATTTATTCTGTGACTATGGAAAAGAGTGAACAGGTGACCTAGATGGTCTTCACCAAAGTTATTTTTCACTATTTTTATCTTTCAGTCCCATATAACATGGAACAAAAAGTACCAAATCAATAAAATCCCAGGGTCTGTTCCTGTGGTATTTCGGTCAGGGCAGGAACACAGACTTTCCAGAGAAATTGAGATTTCTTCCTTCCTGTCCCATACCTTTGGTTTTGCCACTTCAGCTCAGTGAAGTATCACAGTGATTTACTTTCTGCTTTCTGTGCTCTCATCATGGAAGTGCAGGTTCCTGAAGAGCAGGCCAGACACAAGAGAAAGCAGGTACTTCGGTACGAGGTTTCCAGCCTGAATTCTAGCCTGAGGAGTTAGTTGAGCATCCAGATCTCTGCATCCTTTGAAGTTCATCCCAACTCTAAATAATTCTGAACTCAGAGGAAGTTCATGTCCAGGTTTCTAGTAACTGAGGGGCAGCCATGAGTTCTGAAAATGATTTCATTAATTACTTCAAAGCAAAGCAGACAACATTAGAGTGCTTGATTTTC